ATTGAGCAAGTAACTTTTGTGAGCCTTGATTTTCTCATCTGCAAAATGGAGACATTAATAGTCAGTGAGGCTTCCATGAGATAATGCATCTAGGCACTTGGTACAGTGTCCCCTGGAATGAGGGAAGAGAACAGAAAGCTGTGGATCCCGAGGAAGGGAAAAGTAGAGGAAGTGATAAGGAGACCAGACAACATTTTACCACTCAGCATTGTTGGAAATCTCCAAAGGCCCTGAGCTCTGGTAGGCTCGTCTCCAGACAGGCTCAGCTCTGAGGACAGTTGCTGCATCACAGACCCAAGCTCTGTCTGCAAAGAAGATTTTTGGATTGGGCCCAAGTGCAGATAGTGATTGACACACTTTTCAAAACCCTAGGCTTCACTAGGCACTGGTGTCTCCTGCCTGTAATCCTAACGACTCAGGAGGCAGAGATCAGGAGGATCCTATCTCAAAAAACCTATTAAACAAAAGGGCTGGTGGGGTGGCTCAAGTGGTTAAGCGTGACTGCCTAGCAAGCATGAGGCCCTGAGTTCAAACCCCAGTGCTGCTAAAAGAAAAGGAAGCCCTTGGCCTCTACCTGGTTCTAATGACCCTCTACAGGATGCAGCATCCCACAGTCTGAGCCAGGCTGTTAGAATATTTTTAAACCAAATGTTCAGTGTTTTCAGGTAAATGTGCAAATATTGGCTTCATGAAGTACTGGGGCAAGAGTTCTTAGTCCTAACTGGGCATTGGGGCACATCTGTAGTCTCAGCACTTGGGAGGCTGAGGCAGGAGGATCAGGAGTTGAGGCCAGCCTGAGCAACATAATCAGACCCTGTTTCAAAAAAAAGACAAAACAAAAATAAAAACGAGTGAACAAAAAGTTCTCAGCTCTGAGCCCACATTACCTGAGGAGTTTTTAAAAAAATATCCATGTTGACCCTCTCTCCCTTGCAAGATTCTCACTCAATGGTCTGGGGAGGTGGGCATTTTTCTCTTTGATCTCTTAGGCTTTTCAACATCACTTAGGCAGACAGTTTCAGACTTTCTTACTAATATCAATGGTGCATTTGAACATGCAGGGTGGGAAAAGCTTCTGTGAGAAGACCTTGCTTAAGCTGGACTTTTGAATATATTGGACTTGGGGAGTACTGGTTTGAGGCTAAGTTATGTACACATGATATGAAATTCAGAAGTCTAAAAGGACTTATCATAAAAGTGTATCTTCCTCTTTCCCTTTGCCCCCTCCCCTGTTCTCCAGTCTGTAGGTAAGTCTTACCAGTTATTTACACTGCCAGAAATACTCTTTACAGTTGCTGCGAAGGTTTGAAAGTTTCTCTCAAAAGTTCATGTGTTTGGAAACTCATTTCCCAAATTCATGTTAGTGGTGTGTGGAGGTGTGAACTTTAGATAGTGTCATGAGGTAGGCCCCCAGAATGTCACCAGTGGCTTTATAAGAAGAGGAAGAGAGACCCGGGCTAACTCACCTGCTCTATCTTGCCATGTGATGCCCTCCATCACGTTATATTGCCAGGTCCTCACCAGATGTCAGCACCTTGATATTGGACTTCTCACCTCCAGAAGCACGAACTAAACAACCTCTGTGTTTATAAATCACCCAGCTTGTGATATACAGTTATAGCCAGAGATGGTTGTTATTAAAGATCTTGTCAGATTGGTTAGGGGAAATGAGAAGAAAGGAACAGGTGTCACTTTCTGATCCATGACCAAGTACAGAATGTTGTCTATCAAGTCTAGCTTGAGTGATGAAATTCATCTGGAAAAAAACCAAAAAGTGAGTTTTTATGATGGACTTCCTCCTTCCCTCCCTCACTCCCTCCCTCCCCCCACACTCTCTCATTATTTCTTTCTTCCTGTGACAGTGATTTTTTAATTAAATTTTTAATTTTGAGATCATCGTAGACTCACATGCAGTTGTAAGATATGGTGCCAAGAAGTCCCGTGTACTCTTTACCCAACAAGCTTAATTTTAATTTAGTGTTAATCAAGATGCTTCAAATCACATCTGCTGGTGCTGTTCTGAAAAGCTACTGCTGTGAAATCAGTTGAGAGCCAGGTTGTGAGGGATGGGGAGGGGTGCAGAGGAACAAAGTATTTTCAGCTTTCCCGCATGGTTGCTGGGAAATGAAAACTTAAGTGCTTTGTTGTCATGGCAGAGTTCCAGCAGGGTGACAGGTGCTCCCGTGGGGTCTGGAGAGACCAGGCAAGAGAGACCAGCTGGGGGAGGAGCATTCTCTATGTGCTTCAAACAGCACTTTCTATCTGTGTCCACACTCCAGGTCATAATTGACAGAGCACTGGGCCTGCTTATTCCAAATCCTGTCTTCTTGGTCTCCATTGTCACAGGAACACACAAGTGAAGGCAGCAGCCATTCCTGACTCTCTTGGGTTTCCAGTTGCCTCTGCACTGTGATTGGACTCCTCAGTAGCACAGGCCACTGTTAAAAGATAGCCACAGACACTCCCCACCTCTTACTCCACGTACTCTGTCAACAGGAAGGAACACATGGTCAGAAACGTGGTGGAAAGGGGTTTATCTTTCTCCAATCCATCTTCCACCTGACAAGTGTTCTGCTGAGTAAATATTATTTGTATTAGTACATCTTGATACATTAATACTTGGGGTTTTTTTGTTTTTGTTTTTTGGTGAGATTGGGGTTTGAACCCAGGGATCTGTACTTGCAAAGCAAGTTCTGCTTAAGCCACACCTCTAATCCATTTGGGTCTGATTATTTTGGAGATGGGGGTAGGTTCATAAATTATTTGTCCAGACTGGCCTTGAACCATGATCCTCCTGATCTCTGCCTCCCAAGCAGCCATGATCACTGGATCCTGGCAATACTTGGTATTTTATGTGCTGCTTTTGGTAGGGCAGCAGGGACGACATATTCAACATGTGTGTGATTTAAGATATTTAAGGCATCAAACGGGAGAAACAATAGACTCAAACCATTAATAACACAACCCCCAACCCCCGTTCCGAATTTATGTGAAGTAGAAAACTGAATGCATGTGAGATGCAGATACATTGCTTTCTGTATTGATACTAACACGTTTATTGATACACTGGGCAGAATGTTAATGTTTTACATGCATGATCCCTCCTAATCCTTCCAAGTCTGTGATGTGCCACTATCGTCTTCAGTTTATTACTGGAGCAATCGATCTTACAAAGGTGCAGTCATTGCCCAAGGTTTACATGCTGGTGGGCGAGGCAAAGTTTGGACCAGATTTGTCTGACCTATAGACGCTTTATCTACTTGTGCTATGTATAGCTGGTGAAGCCTTTGTTCCCAGAACAATGCTTTGTTTTGTCTGTATGGTGGTGGAGCTCCAACCCAGGGCTTTGTACATGTATAGTATGTACTCTACCACTGAGCTACAACCCCAGCTGCAGAACAGTGTTCTTTTTTTTTAATTGTTTTATTATTCATATGTGCATACAACGCTTGGGTCATTTCTCCCTCCCGGCCCCTACCCCCTCCCTTACCACCCACCCCACTCACTCCCTCTCCCCTCCACCCCCTCAATACCTGGCAGAAACTATTTTGCCCTTATCTCTAATTTTGTTGAAGAGAGAGTATAAGCAATAATAGGAGGGACCAAGGGTTTTTGCTGGTTGAGATAAGGATAGCTATACAGGGAGTTGACTCACATTGATTTCCTGTGCAGAACAGTGTTCTTAAGTCCAAAAAATCCAAAATCAAAACCAAACCAAAACAGAGAATTACAAAAGAAAGAAAAAGAAAAAAAAGAGAGAAAAGAAAAAAGTAATTCTACTGAAATATCAACCACGACAGGCCATTTTGAAGGTGGCCTCAGTGGGCTCTCCCCACCCCGGTCTTTGCCTTGCTACATTTACAAACCTCAGTGAAATTTGGGCTATTTCTTAGAAATACCTATACTGAAGTAAAATGAAACTTAAATTTGACCAATCAGAAGCACCAACTAACTTACATAACTTAGGAATTCTTAGCGGGATAAACCAGGCAAGGCACTGTATAGTTGTACCCAACCAAATCTTTCTTTTTCTCCTGCGCACCTGAGAAGATCCTTCCTCTTGTACTCCCTCAGGGAGCCCCAGACCATCTCTGTTAATTCCTGATTCATGGATTGCTGTTTGGTCAAATAGACTAAATTTTTATTGTGCCTTAGTTTACCTTTTAATGCTGGACAAAACACATATCTTGTCTGACTATTTGGTCCAGGCATCAAAAGTGAGGGAAATACATTATCATCTTGGAACCCAATCAAGCTCCCTGCTCCAAGGTGCAGACAGCTTCCATGTTGGCACCTGGCTGGAAAACGTGCTCATCTGGGATTGGTGACCAGGCTAGGGAAGGCTGATCCAGCCTAGCACACATCAGTGAGGTGCTGTGTCTGAGATAACAAGATCAGCCAGTCTTCACTGTCTAGGAGTATTGATGAGAAAAAAATTGTAGAAACTCTTAATGGTACTTAATCAAACATTGAACTGCATTAAGAAGACCAAGAACAATGTGAAAATAGAGATAAGGCCTATGAAAAAGGAAACCCATCCCAGGAAAAATGACATAAGTCCAGGAAAGTTTGACAAATGTGGCCCTCAAAAGGCGGCAGGGTGGGGACAGGCTGGCAGCAGAATTGGAACAGCTTCCACAAGAAAGGGGTGATTTCTTTTGATGCCCTAGAAAAGAGGTTCCCACTACCTCCTCCTGGACAGAATGCAGACGTGTTCTTAAGGCAGTGCTTCCTCCATTTTCTAGTGACAAAGCAGCAGGGAGCACCTCTTGGGGATAGGGGAATGGTTCAAAGTCGCCTATTTTGAAATCCTAAGTTCAAAATTTCTCTGCAGTCACATGCTTAATTTAAAAGTATGTGTGGATTTTCTTTGCATTTTACTCCATGAATATAT